TATTATTTTTTTCAAATAGGTATTGTTTAATGATTTTCCTTTTCGGTTCTTTCTTATATCTCAGCCGCGCTTTGTTTGAGCGAACGTGTTCGCACGTCTGTCAATTTGCACACTAGCAAAGCGTTCGATTGGGGTTTATTTTTCTGCATTTATTACAACAAGAACCGCCAAAAATATCACAAATATGTTTTAAAATATTGTTAATATTGCACTGAGGCAAAAAACTACAACGGCGACGACGACGGCGACATACGAAAAAATACAAGCGAGTCGTTTGCCCTGGCACTCATACACACACGTATATCTGCATATGTGTGTATATATATATACTCACGCACGTATGCATGCTGCAGTAGAGTTGTCTCTCTTACACTGTTGTTGCCTTTACAGCGAGCACGTTGCTAGCCTGACTGTTTCAACGTTTTCACACCAACACATGCATGCCAGCGCGACATATACGTACACGATAACGAAGCACACATAAAGCAAGACGAAAAAAGTTGCCACCACTACGGGCACTGTGGCCGAAGCAGTCTCTCTGGCTTTTTGTTACGCACAATTTTCACTATTTGGCACGCGCACGTTGCAAATTTATATAAAACCAGCACCAACTTACTTTTTGCGCTTCTATATATTGTATTTCTTTGCACTTTTACATAAATAATTGAATTTCTTTTATAAATTATTTTCTAGAATTAATCTTTCGAACACAACAACACCAACAACAGGCTCGACCAGAAGTTCCATTTGAGAACCATTTAAATAGTTGCGGAACCATCGGTTCGTGGCAAGCGAACTAGACGGTGAACCTGTTTGTTTACACGACGTTGATAAGGTTGTGTTTCTCATGCACATAAATAGATTGCTGGAATCGCTAATATTATATTTTTGTAATAAATACTCACTTCAAGCTGTTTCTGCAGTTGGTTTGAATTTTGTCAAGTGGTTGCTTAATACATGTATCAAATTGATATTAAAATCAAAGTCCACTCGATCAAAAATTGGTTCGCCTATTGGATTATGCTTACATACATATGTAAATATTATTAATATCGACTGTCAAATAGATGCTATAATACAGTTTTGTATTTTAATAGAATTTCAAAAATGTTGTGGCCCTACGAAATGAGGTCCCTGGTCAATAAAAATGTGGCGGTTGGCCGATAAATACAAAAGCGCACAGCAGCTAGCTTTTGTATGCCAGCATAAGCCAAGACACGCACCACACCAAAGATAATTCAACTCGTATTTTAATTCCATATCTCTTAGTATATATGTATGTACAAATGTATATATATGCATGCAGACATACAAATATAAACACATGTGTGTACTATAAGTATACGTAAATTTGGTTCATATGATGACGTAATTTCTTGATATGGTCAATGAATGTTTAAATCTAAATATTCATTTAATATTCGTTCATGTCTATATTTATTTAAATGATGACAATCCCAGCCTCCTCTGATTGGCTGAAAGAGCAAACAAAGCAAAGCAACGGGTCATGTTAAGCAACAGCAACACAAGAGCAAATGGTTACGATCTACGCTAAATTACACACACAAACACTCACACACACACATTTACAAAATTACATGTATACACCCACTCGTACAAACCAAATACACAATCGCACACACACCCACACACACTAGGGGCAATTAATGATCTGGCGAATGGCAGGCCGACTTTGTGCCGATGGTCAAACGAACGAACAAAACACGAACGCTCATCAGGTGTGAAACAATAAAACAAAATGACGGCGCAGCGAACGATTTTTCGTTGTTGTTCGTTTCGTTGATTGTGTTTGCTTGCAAATGAGCTGAGTGCCAGAGCAGGATGGTGGCATGTATTGTCGGACGCTTCGCTTTGCTAAATATTTCCGCAACACATGTCGTACGGCTGGCGAGTGAGTGAGTGAGTGAGTGAGTGAGCGAGCGAGTCAGTTAGTGATAAATGAGAGGGAGAGAGGGGCATTTTCTAACATTGGCGCTGCAAACGTCATCGTCTGCTCCAACGAACGCGCCATTTGGTTTCGTTTAGTTGCAGAGCAGAGGCTGAAGCTCTGCTGGCGGCGGCTTAGATCAAATAATTTGATTTCATGGCAAGTCGCAAAAATTGTCAAGCGGTCGTCGCATCCGCTGCTGCTGCTGCTGCTGCTGTTGCATTTTTCCGCGACCTTTCGGCGCTGCTCCAGTTTGATTGCAACAACAAAAGCAACACGAAGAAGAAGCACAACATTAAAAAAAAAACTATTTCCATTTTGCCTTTTGGCTTTTCTATATATAAAAAAAAACATAAAAATATTTTTTAATTAATTCGATTTTGTATTTATTTTTTGTTTTTTTAATACATTTTTTTTCATACATTTTGCAGGCGCTCGTTTTGTTTATCAACAAAGGCGGCGCCTTTTGAAGTTCGCCGGCAAGAAAATTGCTTTGGCAGGGGGGATGGGGGGAGGCGTGGCAGGGCATGCCAGGGCATGGCATGGGGGAACTTGTTAGATGCTGCCATTAAATTGCTAGACACGATTCAATTTTCCGCAGTGGTGGGAGGTGAACGAAGGGGTGGACGGGAGGCGGGGTCAGTTGGGGAGGTATGGAGTGGGGGGACTGCTGTGAGTATTATTTCCATTTTGATGCCTTTTATGACACTTCAGTTTTGTTTTTATATTTTGTTATTTGTTATTTTCATGCTACCCTGTAGATATTGGTGATAGCCAAGTGGGGTATATGGGTTTCTGATTGGCTACCAATAAATGAGCCTGCACTCGTCCATATATTCTCTAGAAGTTATATGATATTTATATATTATTTAAGCCGTATATCGATTTTTCTTTAAAGAAGTCAATCATTTTAGGATATTAATTAATTTTTCAGGCTATAAATAAATATTCGCAGAGGTATATTCGAGAGAATTTCGATCTGATTCGTCTAAGCATTTCTCTCTCTTTTTCTTTCCATACGGCTATATCCCTAGCTTCCAGCTAGCTCTAGGGTACATTGTAGTCCTGCATACCCGACGCGGTCACCGTTATATGTATTCATTTTGTTTTTTATCGCATAAAACGTTCATCTGGCAGGCGTCTTCGATCGCTTCGATCGTATCTAGTAGGTATTTATGATTTCGTTTATGCATTTTCGTGTTTTATTGTTTAAATTTTTGGTCATTTCGGCGTTCTTCTTCTTCTCTTCTTTTTTTTTGTTTTGTTTTTTATTCGTTTTGCCGGCGGCGTTTGAGTTGAAAAAAGTTAATTGAGTTGTAAAAATTATAAAGTTGTAAAAAACCCCAACGAGCCCTAGCAGGCTGCAGACGAAGAAATGTCGGGTAAAAGTCACATCCAGATGAAACCACCTAAAGCAGGAGTGTGACAATGAAAGAGAGAGAGAGAAAGAGAGAGTGGGAGTGAGTGAGAGGGCAAGTGTGTTAGAGAGAGAGAGAGAGAGAGAGAGAGAGAGAGGGAGAGCAGTAATAAATAAAAGCCCAACATAAATACGCATCGATTCATTTTATGGCCATGAAATGAATAGCATCTAGTTTCGACCGAGTTATTCTTCACGTTTAAGATTTGTGATTTTACGATGTCGCATTCTATGGTCGCATTTTCAACTATGTTGAACTCAAATTCAGAAATAGGAGTATGAATAATATTATAATCTCTTGGATAGAAGTTATTATCTGCTGTCAATCCAAATGAAATGGCGAAGAGATTGACTAAGGTTCGTCGAAGAGGGACACTATCTTATTGAGCGAGCTCATATCCATATTAGTAAATGCATGTAGAGTAGAAATTGTTCGAGTAGAATTGCTCGAATTCATATATCTGCCTCTGAGGTATAGATTAAAAATTGTTACGTAAGAATATTTTTATATAAAATAATATAATATTTCTTTAATTACATTTCTAGTTCCTTGAAGAGGTTTAGTTACATTCGATTTGCTTTACATTTTTAACAATTAACTAAGCTTGGATTAAGGTTGAATTGAGTCTCAGCTTAGGTCTGTGCTGGCAGCTTTGGAGATTGAAGACTTCACATATAGATGTGGTATTTTTTTTTTATATTTGATACTTCTAATCATTTTATAATCAACTAAATATTATCTAATCAGCTCTACTATATAAATTAATATTTATAATATATTTAAAATATAATAATATTTAAAAAATATATTTATATATAGTAATCAAAATTAATATATGACAAACAGACAAAACTAATAAAAAATATTTTATATAAAATAATACAAAATTCTTGTTACATTTTTGATGATAGATTATATAAAATACTAAATGATCGTATGCTATTTTTATACATATACTCCTAAAATATTTAAAACCCAATTGTTTACAAACAAATCTACTATAAATATACTTGAAATACTTAATACCTAATAGCTTCTAATGGAATATATTAATTGCTTATTCAAGATTTTCATTCACCAAATGTATTTCCCAGGGCTACCCGTGCTTAGCGTTTCTCCTATCCTTTTTTTAACGATCCTTTATCCATGTCGAACACTTTAGTGGCTCTTATCGCCGAGTTGCCGCAAATACAGCTGCAACAAGTGGGCAACCCCGTCGCCCTGTCTGCTCCCTCGGGCTGCGTCTTTGTCGAGGTGTCATAAATCCACATGTGGTTGTAAAGTGTCTACTAATTTCAGTACGTATCTTCCCACTCTCTCGCTCTCTTCCCCTTCTCTCTTTCTCCCCTTGGCTGTCTTCTCTCTTGCAACTGTCACTCGATCGCTGCCCCCGTTGGCCCCGCTCGGCGGATCTGTGGGGCTGGGGCCACCTAATTTCACATGAACATGTTAATGTTTACACGCGTACCGCGATTTTTATGTGCGCGCCCCCGCCGCGGATCGTCAGCAGGAGAAGACGAACGGACGGACGGGCGGACGGACGGACGAGTAGCCAACCAACGGCGTCTTAAGCTTATCTCCGATCGCCGAGCCAAACCGAGCCGAGCCGAGCCGACGATCTAAACGCTCACACTGCCGAGAGCCGAGCAGTCAACAGGCGCAGATCAGTCGCAGTTCGCTTGTCAGTCGCGTCGCGTCGCCTCGCCAGCTGTGTGGGTGTCTAGCCAAGTCTCTGAGTGATCCGAGCAGCTGTATCTGTATCCAAATACATAACTGTAACTGTATCTCTGACAAAAGCCGCGCAGCCGTCGGCAAACACTGTTGAGCGAAATGAGCGCCGATACGAACACGGAACGCGCCAAGCCCGTGGAGACTTTAGTCCTGGCCAACTATGCCCTGAAGGCCGAGCAGAAACGCGCCGCCGGCCAAGGCGGACGCAAGGAGGATGAGCGCATCACCAGCGCCGTCATGAAGGTCCTGGAGGGATACGATTGGAATCTGGTCCAAGCCTCCGCCAAGTAAGTTGAAAATTTTAAGCGGGTCTTGAATTTGTGATATTTATACAACCTTCGATAAGGATATGTATTGATTTCTGTGGTACAATATAATAATTGTAATCATATAAAATAATCTTAATATCTGCTCAAATTTCCATGATTCATAAAATGTTTTCATTGCAATATTAGTGTTTGATCTAAAGTTGTAGCTAACTCGTTGCTTAGATTCTAGATTTTCAGACATTCAAAACTTGATGTTCAGATTCTTGATTTCAAACTAGTAATATATAGATTCACTCTGTGATATAAAAATGCAGTATGGGTCTTTATTGATATAGATTTCTTATATTTTCATCCTTTTTATAATCAAGTAGATTCTTGACTCTTTCGAGCTTATGGCTTATAGCATATTTCTAATCTATAAGTACAACTTCCTCAAATTTGTTACTTTGGCAAATTTGATAAGATAATTGTCATAATCGATACAGCTATGATTCCTTGACACTCTGTCTGCTTTTGCTGACAATGAATTGGATTAGGTCATTATATTGCAGTCAGTGGAAAGATCGATTGGCTACATCATTAATCATTTGCTACTGGGGGCTTAAAAATCCTTTTTTACATAAGAAAATACTTAAAGTAAAATTGATTAAATTTTTAATTTGGATGACTAACTGGATATTTCTATATATCTATATTATATATGTCTATAAGAGTTTTTGCAATAAAATCTCTAAGTGCAGAATCGGATCTACTATAATATATGGTGTTTCTAGATTAATATAATCTAGGGCTTTTCAAGAGTGTTTTAGATAGTATATGGTTCTTATGGCCACGGATTTAAGCATTGAGCAAAAGTAATCCTATGACCAATGTCAACAAAGTATATCCAATATACCATAAAATAATTGCCGCTAACTTTTGTAGATAACTAGATTTTTCAATAAATATCTTTAATATTAGCTCTTTTTCGGATATTCGAACCTTAGAATTTTTTCTATGTATAGTTTACCTTTCATAATTGTCAATAAAGTACTTTCAGTAGCTATCCAAATTTCCAAGTAAATAAATAACAGTTTATCTATGTGTTTTATCTATGCATGTCTGTCTGTCGGCATTTACGCGCATAGCAAATCAATGTATGCTTCAATATTTAATTTTTCTTTCAAATATAAAAATTCGTATCCTCCCTAAAGTAAATATTTTCTAAAATATTATGAGGCTTGTGGCCTACGCAAAATATTTGATTACTGTGGCTTTCGATTTAAGCAAAATATTCAAAGCTGAATTCACAATTGACTTCGGGTGATTTAATTTTAGGAATTGTGATTTGTAACCTCCCATAAACACTTTTTTTCTTTTACTTACTGAAATTATAAGAAATATTTTTATTTTATTTTAATAAGAATATAATAAATTGTTGATAGTAAAAATTGCAGCACAATAGTTTGATGATGATGATATATAAGGCAGCATGAGAATATACAAACTATATATATATTAAATGAAAAAAAAAAATAAAATAAAATTTAATAAAATGATTCAATATTTTTAGTTATTTATTTGAAGGAAGCTTTAGCTGTAACTAAATAGAGTGTTTAAGAAAAAGTTGTAAGAACTCTCAGCTCCGAGGAAAACTGACAGTCACAAAAAGTATTTTAAAAGTACTCAAATCTTATATCGACATCTCTAGCCGTAAGCATAGCGGTCCTCGTTCTTCAGTCCCTAGAGACAGCCTTAAATTTCCATCGTAGAAATCTCGTGATGTGGATAACCGCGAATCGAAGCATTTATGAATGACTAAGCGTGGCGCTCTTCTCGTCGCTGATTAGCACAATTTTATGAGCTTGCGGTTGTTCATTCTGTTGTTGTTGTGTCTGTTTTTTTTCTGTTTTTTTTTTTATTTAAATGGATAAACAAACTTGGCGAACCGCAAAGGCAAAAAGTGTAAAAGAAGAAACGAAACGTTTGGGAATACGCTGGCATATGTAAATATGTGAACTGAATTTACACATCTTAACACATGGTAGTAGCTCTCGTATATCACACACATGCATATATATTTATATATATATATATATCTATAGGGTTCAGTTGGTATAGAAAATACAGTGAAAACGGGGAAGCAGACGAAACGCGCTCGAAATGAAGACGACAAATCAATTCAGGCATAAAAAGCGAATAAATATGTTTTTAGCATAAAGATGTTAACTGCTAACAAGCTGCCCAGACGGCAGTCACAGGGGGCGGGAGGTGGCTGTACAGGTGTATACGTGTGTGAAAATAATGCCAAATCCAGTGGAAACACATCGTTCGAGACAGTCGGAGTTGTCACTTGCCACTGCATGGCAGATGTGGGCAAGTGCAACGAGGCAACTCGCTGGCGCCAGGGCCCCAGAGTCGTGAGAATGGCCTGGCGGCCTTCTCGCTCTGATCCCTGTGCTGCTGTGTGCTCCTGTGTAACGGTCAACAGACTATGTATTTGCCGAGCATTTATCGTCGGGCGACTCATATGATTAGCTGCCACACTGCGCTCTCCTCGGGCTGGATAGCAGGCGAGTGCCATGGGCAAATTCAGGGGATTAGCTAGATGAGAGTGGATGCAGATCGGATATTGAGGATTACATGTAGATTATCGCGTGCTTGCTCTTAATTAGCGAAATGTCAACATAGCGATAGTCTACTGTAGTTTTGCCCTGTTATCAGCAACGTGCGCTCAGCTGGTCGCAAACAAGCAACATCCTTGGACTACGTGTTGTGTTTATTGTTGCAAAAGCGCAATCGCTGTCAAGAACACGTGTGTGTTTGCACAAGGATATGACGAGGAGGCGGGCAGCCCAGCCCGTTGCCTTTATCTGCGCCACGTAACGGCTGCGCTTAGACCCCAGCCCCCGCCTCCTCACCCCAACCAGACCAACGAGACCCAGAGGCAACCCTTCGTCGGCCCACCAACGTTTACATACACTAGACTTTGTTTATCTATGCCGGCTTGCTCTGGCTTCAAGTCGCTTTAAAAAAGCCCATGCACAGGGTCACATCCAGCCCGGGCAGGGGTAGGGCTCAGCTCTGCTATTTACTTATGCGGGAATTATGTGTTTGAGGTAGCAAATACTTGTCTATAAGATTGTTGAGAAAAATCTATGGGATCTCAGATATGGTATAGGAGTTATAGAAGGTCTTACTGCATGGCTTTTAAGTGATAGGAGCTCTAGCTAGATGGCTTATAAAGCGATACTACATGGCTTTTAATTGAAAGGTTTTACCATATAGAGTAGAAGCTATAGAAGGTCTTACTATTTGGATTGTAATTTATAAAGGATTTTAAATATATATTGGTATAAAGAGTCTAGGTAAATTATTGTTATTATTTTTTTTTTTTTTATATAGCTAAGATCTACACAAAATATCATCAATATCAAATTATTTTTTAGTCCATAGAAAAATATAGAATAAATAGATAAAAACTATATATATATATATATCTAAATTTGAAAAAAAAAAAACATATACAAATATATTTGTAAGATATTAAAGCTGAAATTTACAAAAAAAAAAAAATTATACAAAAAAAAAAAAAAAAAAAAAAAAAAAAAAAAAAAAAAAAAAAAATAAAAAAAAA